AGGTGTCCCTGCCCATGGCAGGGGTGGCACTGGGTGGTCTTTAATGTCCCTTCCAACCCAAACCATTCCATGCTTGTGGCTGTGAACTGAAACAATGAGCAGCTTCCTTGGGAATGGCTTTGGATTCAGGACTCTTTGGCTCTCTGTGTCGTCCTGGGCTGAAAGTCCAGATAGTTCTAATTGAGGCCCCTGGACTCAGCAAATGAGCCTTGACTGTGTCTTTGTGTGTCTGGGGAAGAAAATAAACCCAGTGAAATAAAAATGCTTATCAGATGGAGAGGGATGAATAAACCTTCATTAGGATTTGAGCCAGTTGATTTAGATGGGATTAGAGGAAATTTAGGATTTGATGGAAGAGGTGGGGCTTTTTTAGGGGGGGTGGAAAAAAAAATCCCCCACAGGCAAACTCAAATAGCAAAATCTATGTCAGCAGAAGCCTTTGAAGTCCTTCAGAACATTATTACTTGCTGAACTATAAGTTATAAAACTGTTTCTGTGTGGAGCTCGGGGGAACCCAAACTTTCTCTAGTAAAAAGAAAATAGGAACACTGAAGACAAAATTAAACAGGGGACCCTCAATTTATAAACAGTTGTCACTGATGGTTTTTCTGGAGTTTCTGGGCAGTGTAGATTTGGAAACAGTGATGTTTGTAGTTCAATAAGAGCTTTGCACATCTCAGCCCCTCCAACACACGGTGGAAATATGGAAATATGGTAAATAAAGCTGGGCCACTCTGGCTTTTGGGGCCTCACCTGAAAGTCTAAGTCAGGCAGATCTAATAAAGCTGACTTGGAGCCAAAGGCTGGTTTTAATGCAGCAGCTCACAGTGGTGCTGTAAAGTGAAATGCTTGAGCCTCTTTTATTAGTGATTTTGTGCAGCTGAGGCTCACTCAGTGGGGCTTTTACAAGGGCTTGGCATGCGAGTTTTGGGGCCGTCAGAAAAAGGCTGTGCTGGGGACTCTTTGGAAATCCAGGCTTGTAAAGCAGCAGGATTCGCTGTAATTTGATTTAAAAAAAATCAGAATGGGATAGGATCTTTATTCCCCTGGAAAGTTGAAAAGGCAGTCAAAATTTTATGTAGTTCCCCCCCCCTCCTCCTCTTTTCTTTTGTTTTACTGCCTTTATAAAATGCTTTTAAGACCTTGAAACTTGAAAGGTCTGTCCAAATATTGTCTGTTTTGGCACGCTCCGAAGGTGTGTGTTTATTTTTGATTTTTGTTTTTTTAAAGCAAGGCAAAAAGAGCTGGCTTGGTTTGGGCTGTGCTGACTCTGTGTGTGCTCTGCCTGTCCCTCACTGAACGTGTCGTGGGAGGGGGGCAGAGGCTCCAACCTGCCCCACAGCTGCTCTTTTGGTGTGTCAGCAACAAAGCTGGGTGGATTTCTGTGCTCTTTGAGCAATGAGAGATGTATTTATATTACTTAAAAATCGAATTGAGAGCGAGTTCCTCGCTAAACTCTGAAGGTTTGAATTTTGGATCGTGTCTTTTTGTTGCTTTTGAACTTCCTGAGGGTGTCCCTGTAGGGACAGGAGCACTAATAGGCACTGCTTTTTTATTGCAGGGTGATGTGATGTGTCATGCTTGAGCAGACTCAGTGCTGTTTGTGTCATTTAAAGGCATTATTATTGCCCTGTC